GTGTGATTTTTTCCATGCTTGATACTCTAAATCTGTCCAAGATATTCTAACCTCTGGCTGTTATGGTTATTCATCTGGTGATAACTTTCTACTCCAATTTCTTGCAAAGAAATACAATAACCATCTAGCTTATTCTTAAATTTAGTTTTACTGCCAGATGGCCTATATGCTTGCACTTTGTGTCTGTTAAATTTCTTTATTGGAGTGAACATTTGAGCAAGTTTTTTCTTTGTATCCTTTGTTAAATTGCTTTCAAGTGTTTGTGTGATCTTTTTTCCTTGTAATTGTCTGTAAAATTTCTTTCTGCTTATAATACCTGAAGGATGCCATGGAGCTTGATCAGTTGATAAATTACTTGATAAACAAGGAAGACTCTGAGGGTGTGGTACTTCTTGGACACAGTACTGGATGTCAGGTAGTCAATCCTTTCTTTTTATTGTAATTTTGAAATGATAAAACTATAAAAGCTTTATATTATAATCTATCTTCTAAGTAAAGAGCATCTCATGCAATTAGAGCCCAAAATGACAACTCTACTGGCCTTTGAACTTAGGACATTGTGCATTACTTGCGTACCAATGCTGCATGCTCTAGAGCAGTTCGTTCAGCCATTTTGCAGGTAATACACCTCAAAAATAGAATTTATGTTGCTTCATTTGGTATGTGTGCTTTCATCACATCTTGCTCAACTTCACTTGACTTAATAGAATTAATCAATGGTTTCATCTATGCTTATGTCCTTTTTACAGGTGTCTAACTTGCTTACTTGCCATGCTTTAGAAAATGGAAATTTTCAATTGAAGAACCTTCTTCCTTTGGTTTATGTGTCTGTTCTAAGGGGCTAACTGGTGTATTCATCTATCTAGCATTCCCTGTTCCCTTCAACTGAACAAGCACCCTCAAATCAAAGCACAATATGTGATGCAGGGGTACTTGAAAGGCCTGCATTATTTTCTGGCCCTTAACTGAGTGTCTTGCCTCAGATACAGAGACACAGAATGCAGCCATTTTGCTGCCTGTGAATCTTAAAACAGTTATAATATTGCCATTAATGACTCAATGTTGCTACAAGTTCATGCTACCCAGTTCTGCTGTTATTTTCTTTCATTACAATGTGCCTTTTTTTTTTTTTTTTTTCCTTTTTCTGTACAGGCTCCAGTTAGTGACCGTGAATACAGAGCGACTCTTCCTGATACCGCTTCAATGATTGATTTGGCCTCAAAGATGATAAGTGAAGGTCAAGGATCAGAGCTAATGCCAAGGGAAGCAAATCCAGATGCTCCTATAACTGCCTATAGGTTAGGTCACACCTTCAACTATTATTTCCCTCATCTAACATTAGCTACTAGTTTGTAAACTGCCACATTTCATTATTTATTACTTTTATTGCCTTGGTTGTTGAATTAGTTGCTAGTTCTTGGGAGAGATCAATATATGGAGAGCCAAAGGGATCTGAGTTTATCTTTTATGCTTGAGATATCAAAGAATGACTTCTATGAAAGTCAATGGAAATTGAATTTATATAGCAGTATAATAGTACAGAGGAACTCTTTAAACAAATAGACTTTAAGAACAGGAACAATAATTTTTTAGCTTAACCTTTCTACTTAACTTTTTATACCAAACTTCTTGTAGTTCTTTTCCTTGGAAGCAGATTTGGAACTTTAAATGCCAACCAAAAGTGTCCCCTATTTTCTAGGTAGAGGCTATTAAGCAAATGTGTAGGTCTACAAATACACCATTCATGTCTTGAAGTTGAGGACTTGAGGTAGCCAAGCTGAACTAATCAGGGTTTTAAGGCTTAGCTGATTTGTTGAGTTGAGAACCCTAGGAGCATATGAGGTCATAATGCATGATGTGTAGGTCTACAGAGAACAGAATACACCATTCCTAAACTTTAAATTTCAAATATTCTGCTTTCCCTATTCCTCATCACTGCCTTCATAAAAACTATTTTGCAGATATCACTCACTTTGTGCCTACAATGGTGATGATGACTTATTCAGTTCAGACCTAAGTGATGATCAGCTGAAACAAAGACTTGGTCACATGTGTAACACGCCTTGTCAGGTATTATCTGTGTTCCCATTTTCACAAAAGATTGCTTCTTCTGGACTGTAACATTTTGAGAAATGTAGTCATGATTATATTCTTTCATGTTTCCTTAACAAATTGTAAATGGAATACTGGATACAAGGTTTTTTTTTTTTAGCATACTTCTATCAGAACCTTCTGCAATTGACATTATTTCACAGTGATATTCTACTCCATAGTATCAATGAGCAGCACATATTTCATCTCACTTTTGTTCCAAATGGTTAATGGTGGGCACTGATTGAGAAGTCTTTTCTTCAGGTGATCTTTTCCATGGGTGATGAATATGTTCCGGATTACGTTGACAAGAAAGCATTGGTCGATAGGCAAGCACATTAATCTTTCTCATGTTTTTTGTCTTTCCCACTTTGTAATGACAGCGGTGCCAAGTATACTTTGCCTCTCACATGTCCTTAAATCCATTCGCACAATAGCAGATTACTCAATTGTTTCCTCTTGTCTATGCATTTTGAACTGCACAGGCTATGCAGAGCAATGGGTGGTGCTGAAAAAGTTGAAATCGAGCACGGAAACCATTCTTTATCAAACCGAGTTGAAGAGGCTGTCCAAGCCATAGTGAACTTTGTCAAGAGAGAAGGTCCTAGTGGGTGGGATGACCCTTGGAGTTGAATGGTCACTTTGCACCTTCTTCCCCTCATCACTGAATTGTTTATTGTGTCTAGTGTTGTATCCTTGTGCATTGTCTCATAACTTCAATTGTTTTCATATCTGTACATCATTGCACTTTACAGGTTTGTTTTGGACATATTTGCAGTTTTTAGTAAAGGATTTTGACTCTCTCTCTCTCTCTCTCTCTTGGTCAAGAAAGAAGTGTTTTACCCCAAACTGGAATCACATATCTTTGCTGTTTCTCCAACCAAGAATCTGATTGATTGAACTTTGTATGCCATTTCTCATGATGTAGAGAAAATCCAATAGTTAATGCATATTCAATACTCTCCTATTGAAAATTTCCCGCATTAAGGTTTAGAGTTATACTTTATATCTCGACTTCTTATTCACTACCTCTTTCTCTTTCACCTAATGATTTAACAATACCTGGTGCAAGTATCTTAAAGATTTCATATCTTGATCGTGACATTTTTTGCATGAAAAATTATAACTCCTAATAAAATTTGTTGATTTGTTATAGAGAGTTAATGTAAAAAAATGATAATATATTAATATGTACTATTAAAGAAATATAAATGACTTGATGTGTTATTTTGCTACCGATATAATTTTTTATTTTTATTTTTACTTATTTCTCATAATAATTACTCCATACTATATTAACCAGGTAAGCATTTACTTCCTTAATATGTTTCTAGTTTTTTTTTTTTTTTTTTTTTAAATATTATTGACTCTATTACGAATAGTATCTGTTTTATACTTTTTTTTTTTTTTTTTATCTGTTATAGCTGAGCATATGTCTCTAGTTTAGGAGTGAAAGGCCTTAAGTTTGGGTTGGAACATAAAAAGAAAAGGAGTCAAAGGCAGACAACATTGATTATGAGTGTGACACCCAAATAGGAAAACCAGCCCCCACTTTAATTAATACCATATCAAATGGAAGCTTTTGATTGCTTTGGATCAAAGTCGGATTCGTTAGAAAACATCATTAGGTGCATCAAAATATATACAAGTTTTATTTTTAATAATTTATATTTTTACCATTAAACTAGTACACTTTTAATCACGTAATTATATTGGTAACGGTCATTGTTAATCAAAATAATATTATTCTTAATATCTAATTACAATCTAAATAATATTTTTGAGAGTATTTGGTAAATAATTGTTAGATGATTGAGTTAGTGAATTTGACTAATTGATAGTATTAACTGATTTTGTGTGTGGCATACTATTAAACTTTCATCCGAATAAAAATTAAATTTTGTGGGCTTAATTTGGATTGAATCTAAATTAGTTGTATAGTACTATAGTGGTTAAGATAATGGACAATGATGATGGAGGAAAAAAAGATATATATCCCCCAAGGTAGCTTGAATGTAAAATAACCGACTCAATTCTCGGGGCTGTTTGATTGGAGGTAATTTAGGTGTAGTTGAATTGTAATTCTGCGGAGACCACAATTACGCTGTTTGGTTGGAGGGAATTGCAATCCCTCCAAATGCTGAATTAAAATTCTGGACTCCCCCCTAGGAATTGTAATTCAGTGTTGATTGGAGATTGTAAATACATTTTTGTCCCTGACATCTATTATTATTATTAGTACATGGAGGGCATTTCAGTCATTGTATCACTTATTCCCTTTCTATTTCTTGTAATCTTATTTTGCATACCAAACACTGTAATTTGAATTCCTACCTTATTCTTTTCCCACCGAATTACAATTCTTTTCCACCCTAATTCCTTCATTCCAACCAAACGGTCTGTCAGTAGTAGGATAGAAATTTTAGCTTGAATGTAAAATAATCGACTCAAGTCTGGCTTTCAGTAGTAGGATAGGAATTTAAACCCTGCTAGGAACTTAGGTGTTGACCATGGTGTTGAGTATTCAGAGCACTGACTAATCAGTAGAGTAACGACTTCTTGTGTGCAGCATTATATTGACTGAGATGGAAACCTCAAGAGCTGCTTGAGCAATTGACGATTTACCTCCTTTAATGACTCTAAGAATAAAATCTTGGAGGTTCAAAATTAGTCCGGCGAAATTGATAACTAATGTAAATTTAAAAAATGCATGTATCCCATTAGAATTTAGAAGTTGGCAATATGTTGCAAAATGCAAAACCACCTGAAGATCATACAGAAAGACAGAAATGCCCTTCCTGCAGCGTGTGTCGTCAACCTCCAATTCTTCGTGGGCGCTTTGACCATCGTCCACGTCCCCACAGTAATATCTAGAGCAATCAAAGGGCATTATGGACACCACAAGAAAATCCATCTCGCATTCTTGTTTCTTCACCTTGACCTGTCATTTTCTGTGTCCGTTACTAACGACCATTAACGACCCCCCTCCATTTTCTTCTGCTCTCCCATCTTTTCTACACATTTCACAGCCTTTATATGCAATGTTAAGAGCTTCCACAGCTTTTCAGCGGTCCGGAGAAAGAAAAGGGCTGTAAGTTCTGCTCATTATATCTCTCTTCATGGCTTTATTTATTTGAATTTTTGTTGCAATCCCAATTTTGAATCAAGAGATCATCTTGGATGTGGGTTTTAAGAGCTTTGGAATATTTCCTCTCAAGCTAGCTTTTGGGGGTTTGCCCTCCAACCAGGTAGCCTGGAGATCCGGGGGGGTTATATTTCTTTGAAGGGCAGAAATTGTTTTTCCTTGAATCTTGTTTGGATGTGGGATTCTGGGATTTTCAAGTTTTCTGTTTTGATCTTGGGTGATATGTAGAGTATGTATGTATAGATTGTGGTTTCAAGATCAAAAGTTCACAGATGTCTGAGAAAGGTGGAAGCTTTAGGGCAAACCCCAGGGTTCATTGGTGGTTTAAGCTGGTGGTGCTGGGGGCTTGTCTGGTAATCTTGATTCTATGGGGCATTCATAGTGTCAATTTGAGTGTCATCAATGCCCCAAAAGATTTTGTTATTCTGAAATTCAATGGTAGTTCTAAAGAATTTAGGCCAGAATTTAAAGATTTTGGGTATTCCAATTTGCAATTGCCCCCCCAAGATGAGCCTTCAGGATCAAGAATTGGGAATTGGGTTTTGGCTGAGTTAGAGGATAACTATTCATCAAAGCTTTTAGAAGGTTGGTTGACTCCTGGGGGTGAGCCATGTAAGGATTCAAGGAGTGTGGGGATTAGGGTTCCCGGTTTGGATGATCGTGAGGGCCTCGAGTTATCTACCGGGGATATCCACGAGTTTGTTTTCCAGGCGGTGGACGAGAAAGGGCAGGCGCATTGTTTGGGGGGCGATTACTTTGAGATTGATCTGTCCGGGGAGAAATGGAAGTCTCGGCCTCCCACTAAGGATTTGGGCAATGGTACCTATAGGTTTCACCTCCAAGTACACCCTGATTTCCATGGGGATTACAATGTCACCATAATCCTATTGTTTCAACATTACGAGGGAATGAGGTTTTCGCCTCAAAGATTCGCGTTTGATCGCGTCCTCCGAGTGTTCCCCGTCAAATTCACCAAATCCCGAGCTGAATTGCCCGAAATCTCGCAATGTGTGAGGTCTGATCTTGCTAGAAACGTTTGGTCTGGCAGGTGGACTCGGCATGCCAAGAACGACACCTGCCTTGTTGACAATGGCGGGCGGTTTATATGCCAAGACCCGAGTTTCCCTTGCCAAAAACCGTGGTGCCATGGTGCCATGGGCGGGCTGGAGAGCAACGGGTGGGTATACTCAGCTCATTGCTCGTTCAAGATGTTCTCTAGCGAGGAGGCGTGGAATTGCTTGAACAAGAAATGGATTTTTTGGTGGGGCGATTCGAATCATTGTGATACGATTCGCAACATCCTTCACTTCATTCTCGACTTCCATGACATCCCGGATGTTCCAAGAAGGTTCGATGCCAACATCACGAACCCGAAAGATCCATCCCAAACTGTCAGACTCACCAGCATCTTCAATGGCCACCCGAACGAGACGGGGAATTACCACGGCTTGTATTCACTAGCAAATGCCGAGTATAGAGAGTTCTTAAAAGGGTATTTTTCCGGTAATGTTGTCCCCGACACTATAATCATGAACTCGGGTTTGCACGACGGGGTGTACTGGCCTAGCATCCGAGCTTTCATCAAGGGCGCAGATTACACCGCAGCGTTTTGGTCCGAGGTGATCCAAGCGGTGAAGCAGCGGCATAAGGTGCCACCGAAGCTTCTATACAGAACCACGGTGACAACCGGCGGCTATGCAAGAACATTGGCTTACAATCCCCAGAAAATGGAGGCGTTCAACGGGGTCGTGTTGGATAAGCTGAGGGCATACGCCGCCTTGGATATGGTCATCGACGATTTCGACATGACCTATCCGTGGCACTACGACAATAGGTGCAACGACGGGGTCCACTATGGCCGAGCTCCCGCCAAGCTCGTGTGGAGGGATGGGCAGATCGGGCACCAGTACTTCGTCGACCTCATGCTCGGGCACGTGTTGCTCAACGCTCTGTGCTCGAGATGGTAACGCTCGATCTTCGAGGTGCAAGCTGACCTGACAAAAGATTGTATGAAGCCATGAGTTTCTGCATTGATTTGAACTGTTTTATGTTCTTGATCTGTGCAATTGTTGTCTTGTCAGTTCTCATATACCACACATTGGCAGTTGTAACTTGTAATGTAACTAGTATCATAGTGATGTAAATAGTAGGTTAGTATATTATTATAGTTATGAATTTATGATTATTGTTGTTTCATTGTTTTTTTCACAGATTATGAGTAACTGTTCAACATATCATGTGTTAGACACAATTGTCTGTTTGTTGATGTGCAATTATTCTTTGTGTTCAGTCTAAATTAGAGTGCAATTTTCTTTTTATTATTATTATTTTTTTTGGGTTTCGTGGGTTCATTCGTAGTCATTACCTAATGGTGCGTATTTTGGGTAAATTCTGCTCCTGTGTAATAACTCGTACACCATACAAGAGAGGTAAACTGTGCTAGGATTGGTCGGAAGACCTGTGTGATGGCTCAACTAAGAGGGTGTTGATAAGAACTAAACTGATGATTTTTTGGTAGGAGAATTATGTATTTATGTTCACCACTTGTCTACCGTTTCGGGGCAAATTATTATTCTAGTTCTGCGGGGCTTAGCTCAATGGTCAAAGAGCTATCTTAGAAGTCGGATGAGAGTTTGATTCCGAAAGCCCAAAAAATTGATCTACGGTGATGAAGACTCCTTGTGTGTAAAGTGTACAGGTAAATGTAGAAAGTGCGAATTAATTAAAATTCTGAGGACTTAAGATTAGTCTAGTGTAAGCGGAACGACTGATATCGTTTTATTCCATATATACTCACCTTTTACTTTCACCTATTAATTTCGTGTAGTTTACATAACGAGAGTATATAGTTATAGAAGTCTCCTAACATTTTCTTGTTTGTTACTTCTCCCGGTCATGTGTTTGGTGAGGAATTGACAATGAAGCAACCTTAGCTTTTACCCATTGCGCTGAAAAGGATGTTATTAACTGCTAGTTCAACCACCCCAACTGTCCACCACTCACCCAACTCTCATATTTTTATATTATCATTATAGGTAAACTGAATTCATGACTATTGAGGTATGGAAATCCTGCTATGTACAAATACTCGATCATTCATTTTGAGTCAAAATTTCGTTTCTTTATCACTTACTAAATGTTTTCTTGATTATATGATTTACATTGTTGAATTTAACTTGGTGCAATTTAATCTTAAGAGCCCAAAGTTGAGTTAGTATCTCATATTTTCATATACAATATAAGGCATCAAGAGTAAGTGAAAGCCACTCAAGAGAGTATTGACCTAATTATAAATTTCCAAAATTTTGTTGACATTACCCGTCATTTCTAACTTCCCAAGTCGAGAAGTGGATCCTACTTAAATTAACAAATAACATGTGAAGTGTCCTCTAAGTTGTCACACCCATTCGAATCTCTTCTGCATTAACACATGGCATGACTAACTTGACTGACCTGTCGGCGAGCGCCATGCAATGTGCCCCTTGTCATGGGGATTTTTGGCATGTGCTCCCTGACCTAACATTATAAAAGCCAACTTGCTCTATAGATGATGGGATTGAACCTAAATAATATCTTTAGTATTTCCCGACTTAGCTTTTGAGAACATTCTTGACATTCTAAGTTCGACCCTTGTCAAGGGGATTTTTGGCATGTCCTTCCTGACTTAACACTATAAAAGCCAACTTGCTCTATATAGGATGAGATTGAACCTAAAGAATATCTTTAGTATTTCCCGACTTAGCTTTTTGAGAACATTCTTGACATTCTAAGTTCGAATATAACTTTGTGTACTAAAGATTAGGTGTAGGCATTACAATATCTTATTCATAAATCATGATTACACATCTAATCTTAATCTAACATATTGTAATCTACAACTCTAATCTCAATAACAAGTAACATCTCATGGGTAGCTATACATATATATATACTTAAATATCTTATGATTTAAATTCGATTTTTATAATTCTTATCAATTCTATAAAAATATAATAGTGTAATATAGTAAAAAGAAGAAAAGGATTGAGAAAGTGAAAGGTGAAAACGCGTATTCTTCACCAAATGAGGATGGTGGGGCAGGCCTCAGGACCAAAGTCCACACAGTACTTTACACTGCTAACTTGTGTTATCTGATCCTTAAATTTAGCAGAAGAGGATTTTTTTTATTTTTTTTATTTTTTTGTTTTGTGTTTTTTTTTTTTTTGAATTATATCTTTACCCAAGGGCTATATGGGATTTTTTTTTAATTAATTTACATTCAAAATTGAATTGTATATTTTTGCGTAAAAAGAACTAACACCCAATTCCAATATTAGTGGTAGGAATGAAATTCCAGTCTACTGCAGAAAGTAACTGTTAAGTGAAGTTTTTTTATCTAGACCAATGTTCTAGAATTTTTCTTTTCTTTTCTTCCCCCCTATTTTCTATTCTTTTCTTTATAAAAAAAACTATACGCTAAAGGAAATGACTAATTATTAATTCTTGGAAAGCATGAGCATAATCATGAAAGATCCATTTTTTTATGTTCATGGTAGGGTACAGTTCTTGACATTTGCCCGCCTTTACTTGTAAAGTGATGAATGAAATTCGTAATCACTATTTAAGATGTACAAAATTTTATGAAATAAATTTAATTAAGAGGATATTAGCAAAAATTAGATTAATGATTCGCACGAAGAACTCAAGTGATTTTTGAATAGTATATTATATACAAGAATACATGATCGAGCCTTATCAGTTCCAGTGTGAAAATTACATCCAATATAGTGGACTCCTTGTGAACAATGAGTCACCATAATTTATCTTATATTAAGTATGAAAATTATGTTTTACTCATTTACTCATTCTTTTTTTTACCCTTGCCCGCGTTTATTTGCTCTATCTTCTTCCAAAGGCTAAACCCCAACCCTAAGGCCCCACACACCTGGACTCGACAGAGCATTTGGGAGGATGTAAATCATGGTAACTCAATTGAACATGAACCACATAGGCTAGACTTGTGCTCACTGTGCACAAGGAACCCCCTCACTTTGAGAGGTTGCTCCCACACTGCCGCTGGTGAGACTCGATCCCTGGTCATTCTTTCAAAGTTTATTTGCTCCATCTTATTAATAGTTTAAATTAAGCTATAAATTGCAATAAAAAAAAAGCAATTTAGAATTGATTATAAGGTGAGATAATGGCGATGTCCCCACGAATTGACGGCAGGGAATAGAAAATTGGAATTCTAAAAGTCAGTCTTCACATGATTTCTACGACAAAACCCAACATTCATGCCAACTTTTTAGCAGACTATAAGGAAACCGCAAGAAACAAAGACATGGGCGACGACGATCCAACGAAGAACAACAAAACAATGCTCTCTTTGTCGAAGTGCTTCAATGGCTGCGGCGGCGGCGGCCTGCGGGCGCCGATCACCGGCGGCCAGGGAACAAGGATCTGGAACCTCAGCGACAAGCCGATCGAGCTGCAAGTGCGAGTGGGATCAATCTTGAAGAAAGCCCACACCTTGAAGCCGGGATCTTCGAAGCGATTCAAGAGCAAGAACATATACAAGAATTACATGCCCGGAAAAGGGAAGAATAACGCAGGGATGAAGACTCTGCTTTATTACTACGATGAAACCTGCCACCCTTATATTTGGATTCACGATTCCGGCTGCGATTTCTCCAGGATGGTGAAGCAGCAGTACATCAGTCTTGAGGATCTGAGGGACTGTTCGGAGATCAGAATCTTCAGGGATCACCAGAGAGGCTGCATTGCGGTTCGCAAGAAACCCAGAGGGGACTTGTGTTGAATCATCTTCTCAGTTCGTTCTTGAGTGGCAGATTGTCACTACCGGAGATTATGGAATTTCCGACCACCTGAAAACAAAAAGTGGTCGGAAATAGCAACAAAGGTTTTTCCGGATACTAAAAGTGGTCGGAACAAGGCTTTTGACTTGATTTAAGATCACTTTCAGGTGATCGGAAATTCTATAATTTCCAGTAGTGTGTGGACGAGTGATTGTGGGGTTCTAAGTGTATGATATTTGGTAAGTGGGATGTCAAGATTTAATCTTTTCTTGTTTTTCCTTGGATTTAGGATGGGTATAGAGTAGGGTTTGATGTTCTCTGCATTTTCCTGTCTGTGAGAGTTTTTGGTTCATGGGATTGTTGTGTAATGGCTGCAGAATGTTTCTGAATTCTGAGTGTAATGTGTGTTGAACATATAACCATTAATATGCAATCAACTATCAGCTTAAACTTTTAGTTGAGATGGAATGTGTAATTCAAAGATCATAGCTGATTGACTTAAATTAAGAAGGCTAATAGATCGTTCAGCCTTGTGATTACGAAGTCGTCGGGCTAACCAATTTGGCTGAGATTCTCCCTTCCATTTTGTTTTCTTTAAGCTGCAGCAGTGAGAGATGTCAGATCAGTACAGTTCTTGTTACTGTATGATACATAGTACATAGATCATCATTTTAAATTTGTCTGTGAAATGGAAAAGTGATCAAGCATGTTGTTATTGGGCCTTGACTTTGAGAATTTCAGATCCATTACAGTTCAGTGATATGATATCTGCAGTTAGATTACATTACATTACATGTGTATTGATACAAAATTCCTGGAGGCATCATCATTGGCACCATTGATTCACTACCCATCTTTTTCCACAATGAAATTTATGCCAATTTTCACCATAAACCCCACCATCCAATCCTCACAGTCAGCCACTTCCACTTCCCTCAATGGTTCATTCTCCAGCAGCCTATACTCAGACTAATCTCCGTTCGCACTGGGCTGACCCAATTAAGGGGCAAAGTGTTGACCATATTGATTTTTTTATACGAGAACGAGTTTGAACTCCTGACCTCTTAAGGCACAAGAATGCACGGCTACTCACGCCAACCAAGCTGGTTTCTCCAGTTGGTTGTTGATTCTTGTTGCACCATATTGAATGAATCTCCCAACAAGCTAGCCCTAGCAGACAGCAACCGACACCATGTATCACATGGGACACACTTCTAAGCTAAGTATTCTCTTTGTGCATAACATCTGCTTTGAGTAGGAGTTGAGGAAAGGATAATGAACCTTTTTAGTCCCTTTAAGTTAGTCAGATTATAGCCAGTTAGTCACATATGCATCTAAATAAACCCTAAACGTTGTACAATAAGTCAGTTTGACCCCTAAGCTTTTAAAAGTTAGAATTAAGCTCATCAACATGTTATTTTCTTGCATCGAAGTCCAAAAACAAGTTATTGACCAGTAATAACAGGTCATTAGCTTCCAGAGAAATTCCAATGATTAAAACCAACAACTGATCCTCCAGTAGCTTTTCCAGTGGAAAAGGCAACCACTGGTCGCCTTCTTCAAAGGAGGCCGGTGAACATTTATCGGTCTTTGATTTCAGTCACCGGAGAATCACTAGAATCTTCTCAGAATTCTAGTGAAATGCTATTACAAGTCAATAACCGGTTTTGGGCTTTGATGCAAGAACTCCAGTGGAAAAGGCAAAAGGAGACCGGTGACTGTTCGTCGGTAGCTGATTTTAGTCGCCGGAGCATAACCGAAATCTTCTCGAAGTCACATAGTTTTACACTCATAGCATCATTTCCATGAATCACACAAGGAAGAGCTAATTAAAACGTTTTTCGTCTATTTAATTCACTCATTCTTCTAAGGATTTTCGCCCGGACTGTGCAGCCTGAAGTTTTTGGATCAGCAAGCATTCCTTTCCAGATTGCACTGGGCCTGCCATTCCCATTTTGTTAGCCTTCTAGTACTGGCATTGATGATTTGGGCTTAATTCTTTGCTGCAATTTCACCTGCAAAAACTTGTTTCCTCTCATTACTGCTCTTTTCGTCTCTTTTACCGAATGAAAATAGCAGCAATTCTTGACCAAAAGTGTTGCTCGAAGCTCCAATGTGATACGGTGTGTAACTAAAGGTCAAAAGTGATAAATTTCTCCCATTCTTGCTTGCAGGTTCAGCTAATTAAACACAGTTTTAACTTTGGGGTTATCCCAAAAGTGACAAAAGGAAAGACTTATGGGCACATGACCAAGTGACACATTCTAGGCATGTGTTAGTGTGTTACCCCTTTTTAGCTCACAGAGTTAACAAGCAGCCAAAAAGGGGTGGCTGTGAAAGAATATTGCCATAGAAGTTAGCAACATGAGAGACAAACATGGGAATAGGTTCCATGTGAATACAGATGCAGCAGGCAGCATCTATGCGCCCCACTTTTGGATCGTTGTGAACCCTTTGTTTTTATTCACGGTTTTCGCTAGCCCGGGGACCATCCTAGCTCACTCTGGCTTTCAGTGGTTAAGTCTTTGTTGTTGATTCATCCTCTTTCTCAAACAGTTGCCAAGGAGCCTTAAAGCAGACAAAAGAAAACACATAGCCCTTCTTGGATTGTCTGCATCTTTAATGCTTAGCCAATTTCAAAGCTGTGTGATCTCATGAGATCTTTTGTTTCCAGCAAGACTGATGAGAGCCATCTGGATATGCTTGATGCAATTACTACTCATATTTTTGTTAAGTGATGACACCAGATTTTCTTTGCCCTCACTGGTCCAACTTTTGAGCTGTTCTATAACCCCAGACAGAGAGTGGTTTCTTTCACCTGCTTGCTGCTGTGGCTTCAACCTTCCAAACTCAATCAAGATTGGTGAAAAGTGAAAAAGCCTTTTATGGTATCATTTCATATCATTGCACACACCATTCTTGACTCAACTAATGCATATAGCCCCGTGGGGCTAGTTCAGTTGCTTCGACTGATCACCCTAAAATCCTATTATAATAGTAGTGTAGGGGTTCGAATCCCACTGAAACTTGGGGTTCAGTGGCAAACCTTGACCGATCAGGGGTGACGAAGACTCTTTGTGCGCAAAGTGTACAATAAGGGGTAGTTCAGTTGGTTCGACTGATTACCCTAAAATCCTACTCTAACAGTACTCTAGGGGTTCGAATTCCACTGAAACTTGGGGGTCATCAGGATACTTTGACCGATAAGGGGTGGGAACCAGGGGACGGACAGTGTGACTCGTGATTTGTCTTTCCCAACGACTCTTGAACATAGGTTCTGGAGAGTTAGGATTAGTCTGGTGTAAGTTAGGAAATCTAATATATATATGTAACCTTGAGAAGGCATTCATTATGGGTGTGATTTGTTGTTATCTTCATAAACACAAGAATTTGACTTGGTTGGAACACTGGTTTTCTCAGTGAAAAGTTGCTGTTTTTCCCACCAATCTGCATAAACTTATGGAGAAACAAAGGCTGTTTGAAGAAGAAATCTATATGTACAAGAAGGAATCTGCAGATTTGCTATAATTGAGATTATTTGACTTTAGATTTAACCATGGCATACAAGTTTTTTCACCATTGATTTTCCCTCACTGTTCCTTCTTCCTTCTAGTGCTGCCAAGAGCAATTATTTATGATCCTTACAGATTCTCTTTTTCTGACTCTGGGTACAATAATCCATTTTGACTTTTAGCTTGAGGGAATTTTTAATTTTTATTTTTATTTTTAATTTTTTATTATTATTTTTTTTCTTTCTTGAGGTTGTTAGCAGACCAAATTTAGGAGCATTTTGGTTGCAGAGTAATATAGCCAGTCTGGGAGTGAAATGGTGCCAGAAGTCATTTCCCAATTCACAGTCCCCCTTTTGCTTTACACCCCACTTAGGTACCCTCAAATCATAATTATTGGTTCCATTTTTCACACACAAAAAAAAACTCTAATTGCATAACGTGTAACGCGTCACCTACATACTAAACGGTCATACTATTATCTTTTTAACATTCTCTAAAAGACCGAGGATGAAATGTTCTGTCACCTACAGACTAATTTAAACGGTCATACTATTATCTTTTTAACATTCTCTAAAAGATCGAGGATTGAAATGTTATAGTTCTCTACTTAGATTCATGAACGTAACTCATGTTACTATACCATTGTGTTGTCAAATTGTCTACTTTTTGTTTTGTTTTTGTTAAGAGGGAACAAGATATGACAACAATCTATCTATATCTAGAAAAAGTAGCACTAAAGGGCAACTCCAGTCAAATTGGTTAGAGTATTGACTTTGAACCATTATCTTCTTAGCTTATCAGTCAATTTTGGCTTGTTTGACTTAGTTAAACAACCAATATGAGTGTTTGATTAATTAGCTTTTTGTAACAGCTTATTGCTCGAAAACGTTAAATTCAAAAAACTGCTCAAAGTAGCTTTTTTGATCAGCTTTTTGAGAAAGTCATTTTGCATATAATCAACTATCAGCTAACCGCTAATTTACCAAACATCTTTCTACAATCCGCTAATACTATCAACTAGTCAAACCCATTAACTCAATCAGCTAACAACTATTTACCAAAACACCCTCATTGTCTGTTTTTTGTTTTGTTTTTGGATACGAGAGAACAAGACACGACAACAATCGGCATAAATCTATTAAAAAAACAGCCCCAATTGCATCTGTGAACAATCAAGAACAAACTGAACTAACACACATTGTCTACTTGGACAAATTAAACTAACTAAGATGTTTGGGAAACTAATGGACATGAAAGAGGTTGTTTGAAGACACACAACACTTTTACCTAAAGGGGTTAGGGCTTTACTACTAGGCTGCACCAATGAATGTTTGGGAGAGGGAGAGAGAGAGAGAGAGAGTGCATGTGAGCATTGGTTGCAGATGAGAGGTAAGGATGCAAATGGGAGAGGCATTGGCAACAGATCCCTCCATTAAACTATAAATGAGTTTCCCAATATATCTCTTCTCCTCTGCAATCACCATCTCCCACACCATGTGGTCCACATGTACTTCTTCTTCACACCCCTTCCCAACATAATGCATTGCCACTGCATAATCACATTTCCTTTCACAGCCATGGTCATAGGGATAATAATGCTCATATATACGAGGCAGGATCAAATGAGAACATGATCTTTTGGTAAAAACTGAAAGCAGTCTATCAAGTTCATTAATGATATGATTGAGGGTTTTAGTTAAAAAAAAATGCGGGATTAATTTTAAAGTTATTAAAAAAAGTTAAGAGTATGAATTATTTTATAAATATTACAAACTTGAATATTTAGTGAAGATAAAATCCTAACCTTTAATTTCTCTATATTTAATAATTTATCTAGATGAAAAGTATGGATGTGTCCACACTTTTTACAAGGGAGG